GTGGCTGTAGCTCACGAAAGCTCATGCTCAAATAAATTGGTTAGTCTCTAAGGTGCCACAAGTACTCCTTTTCTTTTTGCAAGATTTTTCAGAGGCTTGTAACTTGACCAAATTAGATCAAATTTTCATGAACATGGTAAAACACAAGTCTGACAGCAGAGCTATTCCCCTGCCAAATTTCAAGTCCCTGCTCCAAAGCATGGAGGCACTAGCGCATCTCAGCTAAACAGCTGTAAGAATATTTTTAACATGGACAAAAAAACCACGGTTCCCTAACCTTGTTCTCAAAAAAAAGCTGAACCATTTTAGCTGAAACTTTCCAAAAATAAAACCAGCATGAGGCAGACACACAAAGTAGGAAAATTCACCCTGAATGGTTATATTTAGTGTGATATAGTTTTAAATTCTCCATTTTCTCTAACCTCTCTCACAGTGCCTCAGTATAAGTGCAAATGCTGTGTAAAATTTCCTGTTTATTTGGAGATTGATATGGACTTCACTGATCAGTTAAGTCTTCCAGCCTGAATTGCTTGCTTATTTCTATTTAAGACAACCTCTTAAGAGTATTTAAACCTAGTTTTTTATGTATTACTTCTTTCTTGTGGAGGTGGGAACTCTGTGCATAACATTCTCCAAACCCGCTGTTAATGATGTTCTATTAATTATTTGCCAGTGATGCAGGCAGTAGCTGCTCCCCATGGAAATCAAAGGCATCACCTCTGTAATAATCTTGCCTACATTTGTCCAGACAGAAGTCCTAACCCTAGGTCTGCTTCATGGCCTTGTCCAGTTCCAGAGTTGTATTTAGTTTAGCTGATGCAGCGTACCATGCTCTAAGTTACTGAGAGCTGTGTAGTGGCTTCCTGTCCAAACCTAGCAATCAGAGCTGTTTTCTGACTGAAAAGCTCTTTCTGTGCTGATCAGAGAGGTTTTCACTTTGCCCTTTCTTTTGCAGTGATTATGCTTCCCTTGTCTCTTGTTCCTCACTCTCCGCCTGAGACAGACACCACAGTGCCTTTTACTGTTGCACACGTTTTGAGTGATTTTAAGCACCTTTATGATGTATGCAAGTCAATGCTCTAAATCCATTTTAGCACTCACTAATTTGGCAATAATGGCAGTCTCCAGAATGGCAATTAATGAACAAAAGAAGGTTGCATTTCGTGACCTAGCAACCAGGTTTCCCTTAAACTGGGTTTCTGTCTTTTCATTTTTTTTAACCTCATGTCAAAGTCCCTAGGGAATGGCAGTGTAAATTGCTTTGTGTAGACTCTTATGATGATTCGACATTTGGTGCCAATGCTTAGCTTTTCCCGTTTCTTTTAAGATTTCACTAATTTATTTTTTTATTTCTCAGCCCTTACTTTTCACACAGAAAAATGGATATTTAAAATGACTGAGACTCATTCCAGAATTGCTGAAATAACAGCATAATATCAATATTTCTGCTTTTCTTGTGATCCTAGACTCTCTTCAGTAGTGACAGTGAAATTGTAGGTGAAAGTCTCTTGTTCTGATGTCATCCAGCTACTTGTGGTGGTAACACCTATCGACACTGTTTTATCTGTTGTGCTTTTTAGTATGGCTTAGAGCACATAAGCTGCTTTTATTTTCTACCTTTATTGGTTCCATTTCCTGACTTGTCATATACAAATTAAGTGAAAACCAAAATACTATTTCAAATTGAGTCAGATCTATGCATTTCCTACATTTCCCTCCTGATTTGTGTATCTTGGAACTCTCACTTTCCTTTTAGCTTTCCCACCTCTTGAAATCCGTTTTTGTAAGTGAAAAATCTTGGTAAATTGCAGTGCGGCACAGCTATTATATTAGCAGTAACCTCCCCAAAAAATTCTGTCAGCCATGAGCTGGATGTGTTCATAGACAGAAGACGTCTCCTAGGAATCTAGTTGATTTCTCCTGAGAAGGAAAGAGGCCACATCACTGAGCAAATAAGTTTGTATTTTGTTTGTTTTGCTAGAAATTTTTATGCTTTGGTCCTGAAAAACATGCCGAGTGAATTGATAGCATAGCATAGCCTTCAGCTTACGTGACTTGAAGTGAAGGCTTTGGATAAAGACCTTGTAGGAGATCTGGGGATATATTCTCACAAGAAATTTGTTTGCAAATATCTACTGTTCATGCAATCTGAGCCATTCCAAAAGCCAAAAATTTGTTTTTCATAAGTATTTTTGTGAGCTCTAAGGATACATCATCTCTAACAGGGACCTTTCAGCAGTGTCCTGAGTTGGGGTTTTTGCTGTCAAAGGTACAGGAATCATTGCAAGCCTCACCTTATGTTTGGTCAGAGGGGAGCTCCAGAAAACCACTGGTAAAATGTCTCTTCCCCAAATCTTAGCTGGAATCTCTATAGAACTTTGTTTATCTTGATAGGTTTCAGAGTAGCAGCCGTGTTAGTCTGTATTTGCAAAAAGAAAAGGAGTACTTGTGGCACCTTAGAGACTAATAAATTTATTTGAGCATAAGCTTTCATGAGCTACAGCTCACTTCATCGGATGCATTCAGTGGAAAATACAGTGGGGAGATTTATATACATAGAGAACATAAAACAATGGGTGTTACCATACACACTGCAAGCAGAGTGATCACTTAAGGTGAGATATTACCAGCGGGGAGGGGGGAAACCTTTTGTAGTGATAATCAAGGTGGGCCATTGCCAACAGTTGACAAGAACGTCTGAGGAACAGTGGGGGCGTGGAATAAACATGGGGAAATAGTTTTACTTTGTGTAATGACCCATCCACTCCCAGTCTCTATTCAAGCCTAAGTTAATTGTATCCAGTTTGCAAATTAATTCCAATTCAACAGTCTCTTGTTGGAGTCTGTTTTTGAAGGTTTTTTGTTGAAGAATTGCAACTTTTAGGTCTGTGATCGAGTGACCAAAGAGATTGAAGTGTTCTCTGGCTGGTTTTTGAATGTTATAATTCTTGATGTCTGATTTGTGTCCATTTATTCTTTTACGTAGAGACTGTCCAGTTTGACCAATGTACATGGCAGAGGGGCATTGCTGGCACATGATGGCATATATCACATTGGTAGATGTGCAGATGAACGAGCCTCTGATAGTGTGGCTGATGTGATTAGGCCCTATGATGGTGTCCCCTGAATAGATATGTGGACACATTTAGCAATGGGCTTTGTTGCAAGGATAGGTTCCTGGGTTAGTGGTTCTGTTGTGTGGTGTGTGGTTGCTGGTGAGTATTTGCTTCAGGTTGAGGGGTGTCTGTAAGCAAGGACTGGCCTGTCTCCCAAGATCTGTGAGAGTGATGGGTTGTCCTTCAGGATAGGTTGTAGATCCTTGATGATGCGTTGGAGAGGTTTTAGTTGGGGGCTGAAGGTGATGGCTAGTGGCGTTCTGTTATTTTCTTTGTTGGGCCTGTCCTGTAGTAGGTGACTGCTGTGTACTCTTCTGGCTCTGTCAATCCGTTTCTTCACTTCAGCAGGTGGGTATTGTAGTTGTAAGAATGCTTGATAGAGATCTTGTAGGTGTTTGTCTCTGTCTGAGGGGTTGGAGCAAATGCGGTTGTATCGTAGAGCTTGGGTGTAGACAATGGATCGTGTGGTGTGGTCTGGATGAAAGCTAGAGGCATGTAGATAGGAATTGTGGTCAGTAGGTTTCCGGTATAGGGTGGTGTTTATGTGACCATCGCTTATTAGCACCGTAGTGTCCAGGGTGTGGGTCTCTTGTGTGGACTGGTCCAGGCTGAGGTTGATGGTGGGATGGAAATTGTTGAAATCATGGTGGAATTCCTCAAGGGCTTCTTTTCCATGTGTCCAGATGATGATGATCACCAATGTGATATGTGATATATGCCATCATGTGCCAGCAATGCCCCTCTGCCATGTACATTGGTCAAACTGGACAGTCTCTACGTAAAAGAATAAATGGACACAAATCAGACATCAAGAATTATAACATTCAAAAACCAGTCAGAGAACACGTCAATCTCTCTGGTCACTCGATTACAGACCTAAAAGTTGCAATTCTTCAACAAAAAACCTTCAAAAACAGACTCCAACAAGAGACTGCTGAACTGGAATTAATTTGCAAACTGGATACAATTAACTTAGGCTTGAATAGAGACTGGGAGTGGATAGGTCATTACACAAAGTAAAACTATTTCCCCATGTTTATTCCACCCCCCACTGTTCCTCAGACGTTCTTGTCAACTGCTGGAAATGGCCCACTTAGATTATCACTACAAAAGGTTCCCCCCCCCCCCCCGCTCTCCTGCTGGTAATATCTCACCTTAAGTGATCACTCTGGTTACAGTGTGTATGGTAACACCCATTGTTTCATGTTCTCTATGTATATAAATCTCCCCACTGTATTTTCCACTGAATGCATCTGATGAAGTGAGCTGTAGCTCACGAAAGCTTATGCTCAAATAAATTTGTTAGTATCTAAGGTGCCACAAGTACTCCCTCTGTTTTTGTTTCTCTTGATGTTGTTAAAATTAATTACATTGGTTACATTGTATTTTAAAGCCACTGAGTGTAATGGATATGTACAGTTAAACATATATCATTGTTAGGGCTGTCGATTAATTGCAGTTAACTCACGTGATTCACTCAAAAAAATTAATCACGATTAATCGTAGTTTTAATCACACTATTAGACAATAGAATCCCAATTGAAATTTATTAAATATTTTGGATGTTTTTCTACATTTTCAAATATATGGACTTCAATTACAGCACAGAATACAAAGTGTTCAGTGCTCACTTTATATTATTATTTTTATTACAAATATTTGCACTGTAAAAATGATAGACAAAAGAAATAGTATTTTTCAATTCATCTCATACAAATACCGTAGTGCAATCTCTTTATAATGAAAGTGTAACTTACAAATGTAGATTTTTTTCTGTTACATACCTGCACTCAAAAGCAGAACAGTGTAAAACTTTACAGCCCTAATTGTATTATTTTTATCTCTATGTACTTTAAATGTAAACATTAACTTTTCCTTCCCCAGAATCTCCTGGCAAAGATTTTGGTCCCACTCTAGGCTTAAAAAAGTCCAGCTCCCTGGAGAGCTTACAGACGGCTGTGGCTGAAGTCAGGAAGAATGAGCTTCCTTTCCACAGACCCAGGCCTCACATGGTCCGTGGTCGGGGCTGTAACGAGAGCTTCAGAGCTGCCATTGACAAATCTTATGATGGACCTGAAGATGCAGAACAGGGTATGCTGTTTCATGTACTTATTTGTGAAACTTCCACCTCTTAGTACAGACTAAGGCTCCATTAAGCAAAACATTAAAGGAGGTGCTGAAATCCAGTTGAAGGCATTAGAATTTAAGCATGTTCATAAATGTTCTGCTGAATTAGGGCCAAATTACTCTGTATGCTGTCCTAGGGCCTGAGCCAACTTCCACTGAAGTCTTGGATTGACTTCAGTGGTGGGGTGGATCACGCCTTGAATCCACAAAGTTTTGTGGAACTATTTTGTTTTCAGTTTGTTTTAAGTAGCATCGGACTTAATAACTTCTGCTGCTGTTTTGTTTGGTTTATGGCAGTGAGTCTCATCTTTTTCCTTTGCAGCTCCCTTTTCCATACTGAGACCACATCGGAACCCCCTTCCATCTAGCAGGAGCCCTGTTTAGCAATACAGGAAGGACAGAGTGGCCACAACGCCTTGACCCCGCTTGTTCATGACACCTATGGGGGTCACAATTCCCAGACAGAGAGCCCCCTGCTTTACAACATGAACTGCATCTTTACGTTCAGTTCTTGAGTTCCTAAAGTGAAACTGCACTCGCTCTCCCCTAAGCAGTCAGAGTAATTGTCTTGCTGTTCCTTTTAGAGACACCAGAAATAGCCTGAGAGCAAGGAGTGACTGCATTAGTTTTGTATAGTAGTTAGGATATGCAGGTTCTTAGAACCTCTTGTTGAAATAAGCTCTCGCTGTTTGTGTCCCAGCTTGTGGGCTTTCTTGACTTAATGGAGGTTAACAAGCCAGACTTCAAAAAGAAGAATGTTTTACTACATGTCAAGATTTTCATTCCAGAAATAATAACTAGAAAATAAGTAGCGATAATAATTCTGTGCTTAATTTACAATAGAGCCCTGCTTGAATTAACTAGATATGTTTAGTCTGCTTTTTAAATGATATGATTAAATGAACGTGCATTGTGAACTATTGCAGCACTTTATTCTACATTGATTCCATATTGCACGTTTGCATTTTCCTGATCATAAATGGCCCCTATCTCTTTTTACTGATTCTCTTTCTGTCTCTGCAGATGGTCTGTCTGATAAGAGCTCTCTCTCTGCTCAAGAAACTCAGAACTTTGAATTAGTCCCCCAAGGGAATCCTGAACTAGAAGATGTAGAAACCAAGGCAAAGAAAGACAAAAAAAATAAAGAGAAGGAGAAGAAAAAAGGAAAGAGCAAAGCTAAAGTCAAAGAGAAGAAGAGGAAGGAAGAAAATGAAGATCCAGAGAAGAAAACTAAGAAGAAGGGTTTTGGTGCCATGTTGAGGTATGGTTCTTGTGCTTAAAACATATGCGCATACGCGCATACAGACACACACACAGATTTTCCTGAAGAAGCTCATGAAAATATTCTGTGAAATCACTGATGATCTCATGAAGCAGCCAAAAATGTTTGTCAGCCAAAAATGTTTTTCAGTTAAAAAGAAAGCACGATCTATTTTTATGCCAAACCATTAGCTAAGGCAAAAGAACTTTAGCAGGCAAAAAAATTTGTGCCCCTGAAATTCATGTGCATTTGGCAGGAAAACTGTATGAGGTTTGAGGATAAAGAAAATGCAAGGGAAAATGCATTTGGGGGCAATGTTTGCTATTTCCAGGTATTACATTAAACTTTTGGAGGCTACTGGTATATTCTGGCCTGTAGGCCAACCTAGTATGGAAGAAAACCTTGGTGCAGAGTTTAAATGGAAGAAGTGTTTTGCTGTAGCCTCAGAAATTCTACTACAAAAATGCCCTACAGATCATGCTTTTCAAAATATAGAGATTTGGACATTCAAACTAGAGCTTTTGTTTCCTCTTGATGTCCTAGACACACTGCATAAGGAGTTTGTTTCTGAAGTGTTATGTGCAAGGACTTAGCTCTTTTTCTTCCCCATAATGTCAATACAAACCTACTAAATCTGTGCACACCATTTAGACATTTTCCAGGTGTTTACGGACTGCCAGGGCATGATTGTCCAAATTATACGTGCACAAGTGTATGCTTAATTTGCACATACAATTACCACAATGGTTAATGAGAACAAGATAGCTGTCCATAAATGCACAGATATACATACTATTTGTATAATTATACATGCTAAGTGTGCAATTTGCACACACATTTGTGTTCATCGAGTTTAAAGAAACCTGGCTTAAAATAATGAAGCTGTCATTATTTTTAAAATTAATTAGAATGGTGAGTTCTTCAATAGCTCTTCTCTTTGTGTATCTTTAGTCTCATATCTGCTTTTGTTAACCCTGTAGAGCTAATAAAGCTGTAAGAATGGAAATTGGATTGCACGCTAATTTGGCAAAACTGTAATTATTCTGACTCGTGCATCACCAACAGATCTATTGACTAAGATCTACATTCCAAATCTTTATTACTGGTGAAGATGTATGCTTGATTTCAGATCCAAGATCGAGTTTGTTCAGTTGGCAGTGTTATTGATTAACAAGAAACGTGGAACCACAGGACTCTAGTACTACTGATTCACTTTTTAGAGTATAACTTCACTTCAAGCAAAAGAAATACTGTTTTTCTAGAGAGAGAAAACAACATGAAATCTGCATGTTTCATATTTTGACTACATGCATATATTATTCATCTGAACTTTTCCCACAGTTAGATTGAATTTTGATAGGGAGTCTTATTTACTGATATTTTTCATTATTACTGTTATTATTATTTATCCATCAAGCACCACAAAAGGACAGGACAAAGATGGAATTCCTGCCCCAAATTGTTTACAGTCTAAATTAAGACACATGGAAAATGGAGGAGACAAGATTAGGTGGAAAAGAAGGGAAGTTTGCAGGCAAGGACAGTATAATTGTGTACTCACTTGGGAAGTTTGTAGATGCTTCTAAAGAGTAACTAAGGGTTTTCTTTTTGTTTTTCTTTTGTTTTGTGTTTTTTAAAACATGATTATAATTTATATCTGTTTTAATGTTAGGGGACTATCACTTAAAGCTTTCTTGAAGAGCGGATTTTGAGAAGGGAATTGGAGGAGGAGCAGGTAGATGCATGATGGGTGGGGTCAGAAAGGGCGTCCCAGCCATAGAGGGGAGCATGAAACAAGGAATGGAGATGAGCAATTTGGACTGAGCAAAGAGGGCATTTGAGGAAATAAGAGTAGGACTTAGCAAAGAACCTAAGTGACTCAGAACACGTCTTACTGACTCTCAAATCAAACCTAAATGGGGGAGGCCAAATGCAGACTAGTATCGGGGGGGACGGTAGCCAATTTGGATGGCCTTAGAAGCATGAACAAGGAGCTTTGCGGCACAAGTGAAGGAATTTTAGAAAGAGATTGAGTATTGTGATCGCATTAGGTATCAGAGGTGATATTCACAGCAAAGTTTTGGATTGATTAGAGTGAGGAGAGTATCAGGAGGGTCAGAAGAAGGGGATTGAAGTAATAAAGGTACAAGATCAAGGATTTTAGCAGCAGGAGTGTAAAGAAAGAGGCAGATTTTTAAGACGTTACAGAGGTGAAGCTGGCATGATTTAGTGGTAAAATATTGTGGGGGAGAGAGAGAAGCTGAAGATGACACAAAGGTTGTGAGTCTCTGCTACATGGAGGATGGCTAATAATAGTTAATATTTATAGCGAAAGAAGTGGTGGGAAGTTTGTTTGTTTTTTATAAAGAAAGTTGAAGTCAGTTTTTGACATGTTGAATTCCAGCTGGCAGCAGGACATGTCATAGGAGCTATCGGAAATATGAATGCAAACAAGAAAGAGAGAAAGTTTGGATGGAGAAGGAAACCTGAGAATCTGTTCTAGTTCTAGTTACAAGGTTGCCCAGAAAAAATGTAGAGTGAGAGGAGGGTGAGGGCAAAGGACATAACCCTGTGGTAGACTGACAGAGGAAGGGAGGAAGCGCCAACAGAGGAGACACTGAAGGAGCAACTGGAAGAGGTAATAAGAGAACTGGCAAAGCAGAGTTGTTGAAACCAAGGAAGGAATAGGCTTTAAGAAGGAAGGTTCTGCCATATTGAAGGTCCCAGATCTAGGAAAATAACAATGGAGAAGCAGCCTTGAGATTTGGTCAGGAAGAGATCATTGTTAACCACAACACAGGTAGTTTCAGTGGAATGGGAGGAAGCTAGACTGTAAAGAGAGAGTTAATGAAGAGTTGTTCAAAGCGCAAATTAATCCACTACCTACTAGGAAAGTTACACTAGACTGTGGAGGATATTTGTATGCACTACAGGTATACTTACTATGCTGTATATAGCGATTGCATATTTTTCATATCTGTAATATGTCCATGTGAGCTTGCTTGTTTCTCTTGTCACCAGCAATGCAGTTTAATGTATTAAAACCACCCCTAACCTTTGTCTTTAGTACGAAAAAAGTAACTGCTGCTATAGCCTTTCTCAGCTGAGATTTCTGAACATACTGAAATCGCTGCTGAACACTCCCTCCCCCCCCCCCTTTAACAACAGAAAATATCAAAGCTGTTACCAGTTGCTAACAGATTTAATTTGGTTCCTCATCTGTTGCTCAGCTGCTATTTACTTGTGGATTGTGAGAGTTTTTTTTAATTAAAAAAAAATTGCTTTCCTGTTAAATTTCTCATGGATTGAAGTTTTATTTAGGTGGATATGATTCAGGGAGACCATCAAGCAAGCATGTTTTTATTGTTCTAATCACTGTTTAAAAATTCAGTGTTGTTTTACACAGTTAAACAAGAATTGTCAGCTTCCACGTTTTCTGTGATTACCCCTTTTGGCCAGGTGTGAGATTTTTAAACATAGGTGAAGCGGGTTGTCAGTTTATCTGTTTTTTAAAATCCGTAATAGCGTTTGACAGTGTTTAGTTGCAGGACACTTTATTGTACGATGTTTGGTGTTCTACCTCTTGGTAGTAAGGGCTAGGTATTGTGGGTAGTGATGTATTTATGACCTCCCTCGGTATTAGCCCATATATGCACTATCCAAAGAACAACAGAAATCTATTTGAGTACAATGTTTGCATTTAGCATTAGCTCACATAGCATCATTTTGTATTTTACCATACTCTGTTACATTGCCTCATAATGACTTATAAAGTAACCCAACATAGGACAACGTAATGAAAGTCATTCGATGTTATATATCAGGTAATAATTACTGTATATTAAATATTGTCATTAATGGAGCTGTGATTGAATTTATGCCATAACATCAGGAAAAGCCAATGTCTAGCACTAAGCAGTTACTCTTTTTGACTATACCAAAATATTCTCGTTCGGTTACACTCTAAACTTTTATATATTCCATAGAGACCCGTAACAGCAGCGAGACTAGACAGTATCCCATTAAGTGCTCAGTTCAGCCCTTTCTTCCTGCACTAATCATTGTTTCAGGCCAAGGCAAGGTTTGGGAGGCGTGCTCTTCCTCAAGTCAACTCTCTTCATCTTGAAGGATTCTTCATTTGCATGAGAAACTGTGTGCTGTAATGACATACTTTATGCTTTAAATAAGGCCATTGTGTCATTCATTGTTTCAGAATTGCATCCGAGCCCTTTCTAAATTACTCTTTTGGCTATTTTGAAGGGTTAATTAACCCCTTGGTGCAGGGCATTGGAATTTCCTGATGTTGAACATTAATGTAAAATGCATTAACACTTAGCATTGGGAGCTCTGGACAGATCTAACCGAGAAGTTAATCTGAGGAAAATATCTTTTTCCAGAGTTTGCTAGGTGATGGACTCTAGATTCTTAGTTTTTGGTCTATAGTTATTTAATTGTCCTGCCTGTCATTATATACTTTCCCCACAAAGCTGGGCTTTAACTCATTTTTTAAATTAAGTTAAAGACTGAACCTTTAAATCACCAAGAGAATGTGACATCTGTCCTACTCTGACCCTGATCCCACCTCAGCTGCTACGGGCCTAGTATATAATAAATGTAACATGTCTATGGCCCTGTTATTACCTTTTCCACATAGTGGTTGTAAAATTTCTGGGTAGCCATTCAGCTTTATGTGTAAGAAGGTAAGTTAGCTAATGGACTGCAGCCGTGCCAGTGAAATTTTAATAGCTAGTGCCTTATAGGCAGAGGCCAACAGGCTGCAGTCATGATGTTTTGCTGTAGTACCAGACCAACTATGTACTTGTTGATGATTCAGAAGCAAAAAGACAGCCAAACTGGCACGCACGGGGAAGAAGCTTCTCATTCTCTTTTCAGTCTGGGTTCAGAAGCCCACTGAAAAGAAGAACTCTTGTCTTAATGTAACATAGCTCCATTTGTACGATTAGCTTTACTGGATTGGTATCAGTAAAAAACACTAGATT